ATTTGGGGATGAAAACAAAACTTTGCGGAGCAGAGCGAGAGGGGTGGGCGGTGGGTTGGACGGAGGGAGAGAGGGGGGAGGGGCGTCGAAAACTTGGGCGCAAGCAGGCATTAGGCGTAATCCACAAAACTCGAGCAGAGGGCGCCGAGAAACGCCAATGTCGCGAGAACGGCCGCGTTTTGTAATTACGATATAACTGAATTGGCCAGGATAATTTCGCACAGCCCGAAGAGCGGCTGAGCAGGAGAGAGTGAGAGAGAGGGTGAAGAAGGTGAAGGGGAGGTAAGAGGGAAGGCCGGTCTCGGGGATGCGCAGTGCACTGCACTCGCACACACATACACACACAACTGTCTCCGGTCGAGCGACATGTGCGCCGTAGTAAAGTGACTGTCTCCTGCCTCGCCCAGCCTCGCCCCCCTCCGCCTCAAAGGCTCCGTGCGCGACCGGCAATACCGTACTACTACTGACATTACAATTGAGTGCCGTTTCGTTTTGTGTCGCTCCGGCCGGGCTCCTCCGGCACGGTGGGTCCGGCGGCAGCCCAAGGACGTTCGGCGGCAATGACTGACTGACTTACACAACGTTGCAGATCAGTCATGGTATCCACCGGAGACCGGAGTAAAACAAGGCGAACTAACGGTAAGGAGGAGGTCAGTGAAAGTTTTTTTTTCTCGTTTTTTTTTTTAAAGAAAAAGTAAAGAATGCGATAATTGCAGAGAGGGGCAACATAAAATATTATTAAAAGGTGCGGGTCGCAGTTAGTCCAACAGGAAAATAATAAGGTAATCGCCGACATTGTCGCAAAAGACCAATGTCCGTGTCCTCTCCATTCCTCACCTTTTCACCTGTCCTGCGAAAAGTGGCCGAGCTCGTCGCCAGAGTTGTAAATCCCAACACCAAGGCGTCGCTGTCGTCGTCGTCGCTGTTATTGTTGCACTCATCCAATAATCATCACAGCTTGCAGCACTTGCACTTTATTTTTTTATTTTTTTTCGTTGTAAACTTTTTTGAACTTTCGTCGATGTTTGCGTATTCCTCGTTATCTTCGCTTCGTGGCACTCGTCGCAAGGGAGGTCGCCGTCGTCGTGAACACCAACATCAACAATTCAGGCGATGACTCCATAGTAATAGCGATCACTCGCGAAATAAAAAACCACTGACAGCACTTTAAAGTCACTCCCGGTGGTGGGCACTCTGTGCTGCGTGCGCGAGGAGGACTCGGCACCCGCTCGGCTCGCCTCCCGTCAACTCGGCTCGGCTCGGCACAGGGGAATCACGGATGACAACATTGGCCGTCGTACGACCGGCTTGAGAGCGCGCAAGGCTTTTATACAAGACGCGCACACGCAGCGCGACGCACCGACCGCTCTCCGCACACTCCACGCCTCGACTGAGCGCGCGGCGCGCGCGCGCCCGCCGCCCCGCCGCCGCCGCCGCCC